AAGGCTAATAGATTTAGTCGACGCGTTTCCCAGAATATTTGTACGCTTAAATTAATCGAGGGCTGATAAATTACGCGCCTTTTTTTTCTATATTGCAATTTTTTCCATATAAAAGTCAAGATTGTTTTTTTATGATATTTTATAGAGCACGATATAAAAAAAATTACAATTTATTAATGTTTTTAAGATTTTTTTGTAGATATTATACTAATTGACATCATCAATGAATAATTATCAATGCCCATTTCTTGAAAGAGTGTTATATAACATTATTTATATATATATTTATATTGATTAAGATTTCTTCGTAAAAATTTTTCTTATAATTTTTATACACAATACTCTCAGAATTATTGAAAAAAAGTTTAAACTTTAAGAAAATGCAAGAAAAAAGTCGATTTTTTCAGAATTTTAAGATAGTCATATCTCTTAATTAATATAAATATTTTAATAAGCTGTGTAAAAATAAATTTTTGTTTCTCCACTTGAATAAAATCTTGAGTACACCCATGAACAGATTTGCATTTCCGGTAACCATCGTCTAACTTCACATGCTACAGCACTGTCAAACGTCTAACCTATACAGACATCAAACTGAGGACTCGACGTGAGATTCTAAACAAATCGAAGCAACTATTTTCTTGTTTAATGAAAACTAATGAAAACAAAAACATACTGAAAATAATCGAGTGTAATCGTTTATTATTAATTTAACAACACGGTCGGCGGCAGAGAGCGAATCGTGGCGTCACCTGTCAACACGTCGGAACGATGCAGCGTCCTTCTGCCTCCTGCAGCGATACTCCACTCTCTGTTTTGGCGTCGCGTGATTCTACGAGGTGGGATTTAATCGGAAATACGATGACATTTTACATTGAGCTATATTTATCGATATCTTCCGTTTCCAAGGTTAATTAAGGGAAAAGAATTAACGAGCACCGATCAGTAGAATGAACACTGGAATCTCGTAGCGGAACACCGATTGAAGATTGAAGTGCGCGAGAGCGTGGAATGATAGAGGAAGGGAGACAAAAAGCGTGGGCGAGATAAAGAGACATCAAGCAAGGTGAACTGTAGAGGGAGAGAGAGAGAGAGAGAGAGAGAGAGAGAGAGAGAGAGAGAGAGAGAGAGAGACTGGAAAGGCGGAAAGGAGACTCGCGAGAGACGCGTCCGTCACGCACCGAGTGTTTGCCTCGGTTAGCTGGAACGAACGCGCCATTTCCCAGGGAGAAAATGAGAACGACGTCCTCGTGCTCGGTAAGCCGATTAACAATGATCGCCTTATCTAATTAATATAGCTCAAGTCGGTTACGGCCGGGTTAGAGAGAGCTCCCACGAGACCGACCCCCCTCGAGCGATCATTTGACAGCTACACAATAGCCAAGCTATTTATCGATTTTTTTCGCCGTGGTATCGACGAGCAAGACTCGTACCCTCGCCTCCGAGAAGACTTCGGCGACTCCTCGATCGCAAACTCATCGTCCGTCGCCAACCGGGCATTTCTCGCGAATTCGAAACGCCTTGGAGATCGATGGCTTTGAAAACGTCTCTTTTAGGTTATGTTTGTTCCGCGACACTGGCTTTGTTTTAAGCGTTTTAAACCTAAGCTACAAAGTGTTTTTTATCTTCCTGTTTTTTTTTTGTTTTTTACTTCCTATTCTTTTTTTTGTCAACGTTTTAATGACAATCGTGTTTCTTGTCACGTGTTTTTTGTCTTTTCCGAAGCTTGTTAACTTTTATCGGGCGACAGAAACAATGGGTGCAGCAAGAGATGGATGACATAGTGAATAATACGGATAATACGGATAATACAGTGTATTATTATAGCCTTATTGTTCACTAATGTTAAACAAAGATGAAATGATCGTTGTGTTACACTGCAGCTGCCTTTCAGTATGAGACACAGACGACATAGTGTAACACAATGAATCATCATATCCTTGTTTGCCATTAAAGAAAGATGTTATACTGGGTACTTTCCACTTAGTAACACAAGTCGATACAAATCTAACTTTTTTGATATTCACAGAATGCAACAAAGATAGAATGACATTTATGTCGACTTGTGTTACCAAATGGAAGCATCCATTGTGTCTCTTGCTGGAAAGCACCATGTATTACATTGTAATTGCTTTCCAGCAAGAGACACAGTTAATACAGTAAATTATTACTTCCTTGTTATTTGTCAATGTTAAACAGATAAAATGATTATTATGCTACACTGTGTCTTGTTAGAAAACATCAAGTATCAGTCACTTACTAAAAAGCATCAAGTATAAGAACTTCTTTTTTTTTATTGATCTTAATACCTGTACTCGAGGTTGATTTTACTAGTGATACTATAACATCTCCAATCAATTCACGAAATGGTTGCATGTAAATCCGCTCGCTAACATTGTGAGCCTGAAAGGCTATTCCCAAAGCTATTCCTTAGTTTTCTTCTAAAATAAGAGTTAAAAAGAATAAAAAAAACATAAATCAGGGAGCAAAGAGCACATCATAGATTAGACTAGTGTCTCACAATATTTTTACTTCTCTCGTGTAGACTGCTCGAGATAATGCAAGATTTAAATACCGCGAGTTTATGATATAAGTCGTCAATTGCACAAGTTTTTTATCCGAACATCTCTTATGTTCAATGTAGATTAACTTTATCTCGATTGAATCCCAAGAATACAGAAGTCATAAAGAAACTACCATAAAGAATCATCGTAATTTCATATAAATTAATTTTTAAGTGACAAATAATATTATGATAACATCCCGTGATATCATTATGACTTAATTATGACTGTCTTATTTTTTATCTTTCTCTGGTTCTAAAAAGTGGGAAAAACTGAAAGAATAAATTAAACCGAGATTAAAGTTAAACTATATATATATTGAAATGGATATTAACTTAATATGAAGATATATTTGTTATCATTTTGATGTTTCCTTGTTTCTCTTGTCAGTGAAACCATAGAAGGAGGATCCGGCGCAACGCTTGAGAGAGCAGGAAATGTACGGCGCTGAGAGGGAGGAGGTGTCTGAAAGTTGGCTGCATACGTATGACCTGAGCAGTACTATGATTCCCAATGCGAGCACGGCAATGGACGACGAGGAGCATTTCTGCAAGCTTATTTTGTACAAGGAGATTAAGGATTCCAGGTAGGTGATCGCTGCAGTCGTGGCAGCACAACTCAGGTAGAACACAAAATCACAATAATGAGATATAAAGTAGAACTAATTTTTCAGAATAATCATGAAATCATTCGATATACTTTTGATAATGATTTTGTAATGAATTCTTGATATGATAGTAATCTTTAAGATTTTTTTTTTTTAAATTAAAAATTCACTTAAAAATCCTTATTCTGTTAAGAATTCATCACAAAATCATTGTTCAAAAATATATTGAATGGCATTATTATGATTTTTCCCAAAATAATTTTTACTATTATCTCGATTTTATGATCTTATGATTTTTATCTGAGGACATTCAATTTGACTGGATAATCTATCCATCATATTTTGTTCTACAGAGTGCGAATATGGGATATCATCATTCTAGTACCGAATCTATTATTTCTTCTGTTCATCGCAATGCGATTCAACAGGGCGAGGCTTAAGTTACGTGCAACGAGTAGCCCAATATTTTTAGCGTTTTACGGTCTGGTCATTTGTAATGTAGTTATATCAGTGGTGCGCTGCGTCGTGTCGATGACTGTGAACGCGGCGGCGACGGTCGGCGGCAAGGCCGACAAGGTCCTATGGGTCACAGTGAGATTTTTTCTACTATCTACCGAGATGAGTGTAGTTATATTTGGTCTAGCGTTCGGTGAGTAGCGTATAGAAAATCTTTTCGCGAAAAAAGAAAAGAAGGAGACCGCTTAAAAGTTTGAAGCACCTCTAAAAAAAAGTTTAATCAATTTTATTTACTAACATCGTAAATATAATGTTTATATCGCTTCAACATAAAAAAAAAACTTTTAAATAAATTTTCAATAATGCGTACGTTTAAAAATAAACATTTTTTATTTTTAATAAAATAATTAAATTTGGTAATTATTTTATTAAAAATACATTTTTAATAAGATAATTATATCTATAAAAAATATATTTTTGGATAGCTATTTTCAGATTTATTATAATTGTTTTAATATAATATAACACAAATATCACAAAAAGAACAAGGATTGAAATTTATGAATGAAAAAGCTATTCAAGATTTTTACTAGTAAATGTAGAATAATTTATTATTTTATTACTATTTATTTTATGAATATTTGAAATACTTTTGTTCTATTTAAAAATTACAAAGTGCTTCAGACTTTTGAATGGTAGTTATTTGCTAACGTGCGAATCATGCTACTTAGGTCATTTGGATAGCCGCTCCAGTATTCGTAGAGTATTACTTGCTACATCCTTCATAGCGCTGGCATTCACGATCACTCAAGGAACACTGGAGCTGGTCCTACCGGACGATACATTTCATATTCCCAGCCGCGACTTTTATGTATTCGGTCATGGTGGCATGATGTTTTGGTTTTGCAGTAGCCTCGTTTTCACAACGGTAGGCTTACGCACACATTTTCTTGTTAGTCAAAAATCGATACGTATTACTGAATATATCGATATGTCGCTTTTAGATATATCTCTTCATATTAATACTGCCATGGACACGGTTGCGGGACCGCCTAGCACTTCCTAGTAAGTACCTGTTGTCATAAAGATTATAGTTCCATCACTGATTACGAGTTTATGATATGCTTTCTATTGTAGCACGGAAAAGTTTTTACGTTTACGCTGGAATACTAGCGACGTTGGACTTAGTGCAGTCGATTGGCGCAGGCTTTCTAAACTACACGCAAAATCCAGTAGGATTATGCATCGTAGACTTCACTGCAGCAGTATATTTAACTCTTTTTACCCCTTTGGTTTATCATACATTCCTGTCGGAATTCTTCGGGTAAGTTGCTACTACTTAGCGAAATGCAACTTAAGGCTTTTATTAACTCAGTATTACTATCTCTTATATCAAAAGCAAGAAAATACAGTAAAAATTCTTGCAAATTATATTTGAATTCAAATATTTTTCAATAAAATAACATTTATAATCGATAGATTTAATATAAATATAAAATATAAATAGAATATAAAATATTGATAAAATAGGTTTAATGTAAAATATATCGCAAACTATCTTCTTGTTTAAGGAAGAAATTAAATCTTATTTATTTCTATACATTATTAATTTAACAGTTTGTTACAGATATGAACATAACATTATATCATTTTTTATGCTTAATTTTAGCTAATATAAGATATTAATTAATTAATTATTAATTAATGAAAAAAGAAGAGAATTTTTAGTATTTTACAGTTTTAGTATTTTGCTTCCATCAATTATAAACGTTATCGTATTGGAACATATTTCCATATTAATGTATGCTGCAAAAATTTTTATTATGTATATTTTCGCTTCTGACGTCACTATATGAGATAGTGGTGAGTGAACAGAAGTCTTAAACAATTGCACTGTTATGTGCGAGTGATACATTTTAGAAATCCTTCTGTTTTAGTGTTTCGCAACCTTCGATAATGTTTTCTTACAAAGCACAAGTGGACGACGCAATGGATGAAGACACTGTGTCATTACCGCACCAACAGAGTTTTTCATCCTTGAAAACCGACAGCGATTACATCTATCAGGTCCATACTCCTTCTATTCACATACCGCTGTATGATTCCCATGCATCAAAATCCTCTAGACCGAGAGCTTCTCTGTATTCCTTAACATCCGCTAAAGACCTCAAAAATAATGACTCAAGTACTTTTGGTTCGCCAGTTAAGCCATATCACTCGACATCCGGTATTAGAAGCTTTGGTAGAGAATCCAGAGAAAAAGATGTTTCGAAAGTGATCGAGTATCCCTTAACCAAATCTACCGCCATCCAAAAAAGTGTCCCGGATCTAAGACTCTCCAGCCCGATCCGAAAAGCCGTTCCTGATACGTACGATGATCCCAGTAGCGTCTCACTTCTCTCGACTGATACCGCTAGTAACTTCTTTTATAAACCAAACACAATTGACAGCAATATTAATTTATTTTCTCAAACGAGGAAAAGTAGTTTAGATAATATATCGTCTAAAACGATCGTAGATCACGTTGAGATCACGGCTGCAGTTGAGAACCTTTCGCACGGATACGATAGCTTCTCAGAGATAGCTCAGGGTCCAGCATTAGAAAATACCTTACACTTCATTTTGGAGAGCGGAACACACGAAATTGAAACGGAAGTTCCTAAAAAATCTCGATTAAAGACAACTGACACTGACAATTTAGTCGAAGATGGTACTGTTAGTGCAGATCCGAGACATTTAACGACGCGTATTAGCACCGAGATTTTTAAAACTGACTCAAATGATATATCTCCTGATTCAAACGTCACGCAACAATTACTTCCTAAAACGACTTCCTTTACAACCGGCGCGCACAGAAAGAATAAAAATGATTCGAGGGAGAGAGAACCAGGTGGCTTAAGTGATTATTTATTATCTATAACATCCCCAAAATTTGTGAAACACAAAAGAAACGAGGCACATCCCAAACCCTCCACGGATTCAGATTTTTACACGCAAACTGAATCTTTGTAAATAGCTTATTTATATGTACCGCTACAGTCGATTTACTGTGTATGTACATATCGTAGATAATCTTCCTAAGTTTTACATTAATTTTGTTAATTATTAATCCTTATATTAAAACGAGTATGGTGAGATATCATTCAAGAACTTTATCTAATTGTATATATCTGAGCATGTTTAGAAATATCGTGCAATTAAACGTATTAATGTAGTCACAATGCACTTTGTTTCATTTATTTACACTAACTTCGGGCAATTACTCCCTTGGCAAAATATCATTCTACTGTCTTTTTAGAGATGGAATCTCGTGAACGTTTTCAAATGATATTTCATTACGCGTACACTGTTAGCACCAATGCTTTAATATATTTTATTATAATAGTTATACACGCGGAACCTGATATTTTATTATTTCAAAATGCTTTTGGCTGAATTTTTGCGAGCTTCCGTATATTCCGTATATTATATAAAATATAATCGTTATAATCTCACAATAGTTTCCCCCCTAAAGCTTCCATTCTCTTATTGCACTTGTGTGAAATAATATCGGAAGTGAAAAATTATGTAAATTTTATTTTGTATAAAAAATAAGTCATGACTTCTCATTTCCGAACTAAGAAATATTGAATATCAATTTAACACAATATTTAAATAACACAATCAATAACACAAATATTTAAATAACACAATCACATTATGTTGATAATAGATATATTAAAAATTCAACGCAAACTCTAACAAGAATTTCAACAGAATTTCAATCATTCGTTTCTACATATACAAAATGTACGTTCGTTTCTACATATACAAAATACAAATACAAAATGCTTTTTACTGTGTATAATTGATGAAATATCCAAAAAAGTTTAAGATATTTTTTCAAAAATTATAGAATGAGAAATCTTAGAGTATTTTCACATATATGAAAAATTTTGAGAATAAAGATTTTCTCAGTATTTGTGAAAAATGTTCCAATTTGTATAAAAATTCTGAAAAAATTTTTACCAGGGAGTGCAGTGAGAAAACAGGAGGTCTCAATAAATTAACTGACTAATTGATTATGATTAGGAATCTGCCTTGATAAATGCAAAGCGGAATGTTCTTTTTTTTCTTTCCAGAATCACAGTGTTTATGACTCGACCCAGTTCGACACGAACACTACGCCAATCAACCCGCTCTACGCGGCGTCTCTTCAAAGCCCAGATAGTATTACCGGTTATAGTATAGACAGTCAAGAAACGCCGAATCCGCCGAATGGTTACCAACAATGAACATTTATAATCGATTCGGAGTGTGCTATAAAAACTAGAACGAGCCTGCGTATGAGTTACTTGACGATCAAATTGCAGTTTTGCTAAGAGCTTTGTGTAATCTCTATACAAGGACTTGTTACTTTTTTTCGAAAAAAAAATCTCATGCGAGAAAAAGTTCGCTTGAGGGCTCGAAAATAGCGTGCGATTGTGAATCGAACACGAAAGGATTCTAGTCGCCCTTGGGTATTTTTAGGGTCATGTAATACATTAACGGAGAAAAATACGAATGCTTTCGGTCTCCATGTGATAGTTGGCATCGATGCCCAAATTGTGATTGGAAACGCTGGAAGAAATCTCGCAAGATCTGAAAAAGGAATCTCCAGTTTAGCTTTAGTTTGCTTTACTTAGGGCAAATTATTGAAAGATGGTTAGTAATAGCGTATTAATTCACAATAGTTTTGTACTTAAATAGACTTTGAAACGTTGAGTGAATTTTTATTGCACGTAAAAATAGAATATTTTCTTTTTGGCGATATTGCGCATTTATCTCAAAAACTAGGTCATTCTAGGATTCGCATACTTCCTTCAGATCGCAGAGATTAATTTACCGTGCTCTCTTCATTTTAATCTGTAACTGGAACATATTAGAGATTTTCCTAATTTTTAAAGATTTGAAATTTTATGTTTTACAATCTTTTATTTCATAGTTTTGAACTTGAAAAAAATCTTAAAAAGAATAAGATTAAAAATCTTAGTAGGTCCCAAGGACCCGTATGTTTTATTAGCATCGAAAGAAATATGTTCCTATTACGGATTAAACATATTTTTATCTAGGTGTAAAATCAGTATGTATAAAATAGTAATTAAAAATAAATTCACTTCTAAATGCCTTTGATTAGCATAGCTAATACATAAATGCGACTTTTAGAATGCCCTATACACACGGTGTTGATCATCATCGCGAAGCATCATCTCTCTATCGATAAATGCTGTTGTTTTATATTGAGAACTGCAAAGTTGGTGTGCCGGCCGTGGATTCCTAGTAAGACGAACAAAACACTTAGATTTAACTTCTGAAACTTGCTTATCGTTTCTCCGTCCTTTTCATCAAAGTGGACGTCGTATCGCCCGAAAGTCCTCATGTTGCGCGCGAAGCGATGCGCAAGCGACAAGCCGGACACTCGCTATTTTCTTACTTTTGCATCGAAAATCATTAGATCGATTAAGGGACAATAGGAGTCATTAAAGTTAAACGTCGCGCGGAGGAAATTTTTAGATTTAAGGAAAAAACTCTTCAAATGCTCCAATAATTACGAAGACTCCATCCATGATGTATATACATGATCTGTAATTCTAGTGTAAAGGATTGTACTATTTATATATCTTAATATATACATATATATAATATATATATATATATTTATCAATATATTACGTATCTCCGTAATTAAATTCGTACAACTGTGACAGATCTTAAGATACTAATTACTCCTGCGCTGTCCGTGTTTTTCGCCTGGACGTTCATCTCGCGCAGGGGAAGAAAAAAGATAAGAGATAAAAAGGAATATGAAATTATAGCATCATAAAAGCGTCCACTATCGTCGTTCTCGAAGATGCGTTCATGAGGTTGTAGATTCCTCCGTTTTTCCTAGTGCATTAGAGGAAGAAGGAAATTCAGGAGCGAGCAAAATTAATAGTGATACAACGTAACTTATTTTCTAGCTAGCATATAAATTCGTTCGAACTTGTATATACGGAACGGTGTGCATGGAACGATGTTGTACACGATGAATCTCTGTCAATTGCAATTGCTTTTTACCATCTCCGACTATCTGTCACCCTGCACTCCTCACAATCGTTACTTACGATCGTCTGACCGTGTGATTTTTTTGTAAGTATCGAGTGCAGTGTATAAGGCAATATATTGTGACCGCGTCATATAGCTATACCTAATTTAAAAAAAAAGTAAAATAAACATGAATAACGATTCAGCGTATTCAATTTAATTTCTCAATAATCTGCCTCTAATATAATCTTATCCTGCCTCCCGATTTTTTTCATCAGGACTAAAAATTAAGTGTGTCCTTATGTATCGTGTATACCAAAGGATCGTTGACTCGTGTCGCTTTGCACACTGATCGCCGCATTTGACGTCACGAAAAACTTTCTCTTTGCATTAAACTCGGTCAATGGCGTACATTATTCAACGAGATTCGACGCGAGATTGAGCTCGCGACGTGTCATGCCTGAAATTGGCAAGTCCAACGTGATTCAGAGAAACGTTCAGCAATACAAATAGTTTGATATATTTGTCCGTGACACGACAGAGACGCGATATAAAAAAGCGAGGACCGAATAGCAAAGAGTTAATTCTTTATGTAATTAATTGAACGGATTAAAGTTTAAATTATTGAATTGCTCTTATCTTGTGCTCTCCTTTCACAGTTTGGCTGGTAAGAAAGGATAGAAGTCCCAAATCTTGCATACTATCGCATCGTCACACGTGAAAGCTCGAAGCACGTTGGGATCTGCAAAAAAAAACAAAAAAGCAAAATAAATCAGCTGTTTTCTGCCATTTGATTCAAAACGCTCAGAAAAGTCAAAATTAATTAATTTTAAATTTTTAAAGTTAATTTAAGGAGTGATTCTAGTCTAATTTTCCAAATGACAAAATAAAACAGAAATCATAAATAATAAAATTGCAATTAAGGTTTTATTTCTTAATTATAAGCTCGATCATAAATGTTTAAATATTTATATTAAAAAATGCCTAAATCACGTGAATATTTAGAATTATTTATAATTCTAAAATTATTTATAATTAAAAAACGAAATCTACTTCGAAATTTTATTCTTAATTTTGTCTCGAATGTATCTACAGTATACATATTGTATATACGGTACAGTCCTCAATTTTGAAATAGAAATCAAATAAAATAAAGAACATGTAATAAAAATATCTTGAATATTTTTATTCTAAATGGAATCCTTTTTAAGTAATATATCACTTTGTTCTCGTTTGAATATTCTTCTAATCACTTTCTTCTTTTCACTAACTTCCATTGATTGATCACAGCTGCTTAAATTTCTGGAATATTTATATATTATTCTGGAATATTTATATTATTTTGATATCCAAACAAGATTATTTTCAGATCTGTGTATCTAGTTAAATTTTTAAATATTTCAACAAAGCTATTCTTTTTATCCAATATTATTTATGACATGATATGATTCTGTGTTTGCAGAAAAAATTAAATTAAATTAAATTAAAAAATCCGCTTGAGCGCGCACAAGTTTCATTTGCCTCTCTTTGCAGTGTGGAAGGCTTACAGTTCATTCCGTCCAAATTGTATAGTCGTTAGATCGTCAGGGTCAATTTAAATTTGTTTACTGACTATCAGTGCGCAAGTATTCCCGTAGGGGCCCGCTCAGTATGGTAGCCGGCACCGCCAAACTCATCCGCGGGTAGAGTGTGGTGCCATCCGAAGAGAGGACGTTGCATACGACCATTCCCAGCATATCCCCGGTTGTACGATTGATGATCGGTCCGCCGCTGGTACCGCTCTGGACGCAACAGGTCGTCAGGAGTGCACAGTCCATCGACTTGGAGACTACGCCACTACTGATAGTCGGCCGGATGGACGACGAGAATGGAAATCCTATGGAAACTACTGGCTCGCCTACAAGCACACGAAACGCACTTGTTAGCTCGAATTGTCTATCGAGTGTCCAGAATTGAATGTAGTAATTCAACCCGACTTTAACTGAAACGGGAGTGACTCTAAGTATTATAAATATAGTTTTCTAGTAAAAAAAATTTCGTATAATATTTTTGAGAATTAATTGTATTTTGAAATAAAAATTTTTTAAAAAATACCTTAAACTTAAAAAATTATAGGATGAAAAATCGTAGAAGTGTTAGAATATTTCAGAATTCATAAATATAAAGAATTTTAGAAAATATATAGACTTTTTCTCAATATTTTCAAAAAGTGATTCAATTATAAAATCTGACAATTTTTTTAAAAAGTTATAATTAATAATTTGAATAGCAATGTAATTCTGTTTATTTTTGCTTGCAAAGCGAGTGCTTTTGAAAATTCTGCGTCACTGCTCATGTAACATACTCAATAAAGCTCTTATAAAATGTGTGGCAATAGACTTTTATTGCAATCGGGTAAATGGGATGACTTATGTGTCGGTTTCTAAGTTGAAAGAATGAGGCCAAATATCAATTTCACCTTCAACGACGATTAATTGACCCAATTTTTTACAATTATATGTTATTTCTGTTCTGATGGAAGAAGGTCAATGTCCCTGGCGTTGAGGCGCCAGGAAACTGTTTAACACGCTGCTGGATATTGCTAATTTCCTCTTATTACGAAGAAAACCACGAGAGTAAGCTTCGATATACTGTAATTCCAAATAATAATAATTTGAACTATTTGAAGGTTAAAATTATTGATAGCCAATACATCGTTTCCGATGCCTGTTGATGAAACAAAAAGGATTTAACAATGCTAAATACTTACCCTTATTTAAAATTGCAGTATGAGACAAGCGTACGGATTTTAGCGAAGGATCCACATCTTGCGGATCCATCCTCAATACAGCGATGTCATAGGGTTGATTCTCTGGTGTTCTGTATAATAGTTTTGCCCGGATACATGAATTGGTCTTGTCCGGCCTCATTATAATCGATATCTCTCTTTCTGACGCCTATCAGAGTTCATTTTGACTTAGTTATCATTTTATTAAACATGTTTAACGTTGCAGATAAAATATTAATAATCCGATGAGAGATATATTGCCATACATTTTATCATGCAGAATAAATTTAATATTTAATATTTTCATATTGCGTGCTATAATATACTGCGTATTTTCTATTTTTCACTTTTATGTGGATAATAAATATGTCTATTAATATTTCTTTATAAAGAATTCAATTTTTACCTCCGCGACGACGTGCGAACATGTTAGGAATGTACCAGTATCCTTATGCACGAGGACGCCCGTACCCCAATTAATTCCACATCTAACGAGCACAACGCCTCTATCTAATGCCACTATATAAAAAAGAATGACAAAAACATCTTTGCGGATGTAGATAATAATAGAAGATAACATTCAATAACAAACCATCTATATTTTCTTGATATGTAATCGGACGACAAGGAAGATTTTTCTTCCGTAAAATGTTAAGTACACACGGCATAAGATTAGCGGCAAAAGTGTAATCCACCCATTCCCCGCGACACCAGCTCAATGGCGCTATCACCATGCCACTGATAATTCTGTGTTTGCTAAAAAACATAGCTTATAATGAGACAATTTTAAACAATTTTTACGATAAGATAAACCATCGATTTTATTATTGCGTGCGATTAGTTATCTTTATTGAAATTTCCTTAAAAGATAACTTAGATTTTTTAAATTATTGGAAAATTTTATATATTTTTTATATCCAATATATTTTATATATTGCAATATTTTATATATTTAAAATTATTAGAAAATTTTATATATTTGCGATTACATTAATATACATTATATATCTGTCAAACATTCTGATCGAAGTAATCAGAAATTTTATTCCGGTAATCAGAATTCCGATTAGAATGATTTGATTAGAATGCATTTTATTTATACATTTTATTTATCTGTTGGTATAAAACCCAAACTATTTAAATCAGTATATTTCCATATATAAATACAAGTATATGCATAAATACATAGAACTCTCTATAAGAGTCATTATAATTACCTGTCCGGCAGAATGATGTAAACGGGACCGCCCTCGCCACCAGGAAACGCATACGCGTCCGTCATGATAACGCAGCCTTCGTCACCGACGACGTTACTGATAACACCGTGTGCAATCGAGCCGGCGAACACGGGATTACCAAAGGGCGTGGACTCGATTATCACGGATGACCCGCGGATAAGATTCCGCGGAATTTGATTCAATAAACAAGACAAGGCTTGTTCGAGCGACGTTTCTACGATCGATTCGGAATTGTAGATACGGACAAATAGAAAAATCGACCGTAATGATCGAGTGAACTTGGTTGACTTGGAGAAGCTCCATGTTTTGAAGAACTCATCAAAAGTCTTCTTCAAGAGTGGACATTGCCAGGCAGCCACAATCATACCGTGATGTTCCTTTAATGAACTTGATCGGGAATCGTTATCGCTCCCTAGATCGCGATAGACTCGAAATTTCAACTCGCTCATGAGTTCTCTTGGTATTGTTATGAGTTCTCCCGATACCATGTTCGTAACGAAATTCGATACTGCATAGGATTTGTCGATAATCGGATCCAATACAATACCGTGTGTCAATATCCAATCCGTTGAGATCGAAATACCGGAGCATCCTTGCGGCAATGGATCTTTGTCAATCGATGAGTGGAGTAATAGAGCGCTGCTTGGAACATCCATCCTTCTCAATGCTGTACATAAAAAAAAGTGAGTTTTATGATTTTCATATGGTTGCAAAAAATTAATATATTTACAAAATTAAAAATAACACTAATATATTTTTTAAGAATATATAAAGTGATATTTTCTTATCTTTCTTTTAATAGTACACAAAATTAATGCAACATTCTTGATGTAATAACTTTGATTGCCAAACTGATTTCGGCGTTAAATTTAATAATTCTAGTGTATTATTTTAAATTGTTATTGTAATTTTAAAACTTTATTCAATTTGATATATTATCTCTATACTGCAAACTCTGCAAATAATATTCTAGTAGAGATCTCATCGATTTTTATAACTCGTTATCTCATCAAATAAATAAACTTCAATCTTTTTCTGTATATTCGATCAAGACACGGTTGTCGCACCCGTTACAACCTAAGTAACAGCGTGTTTTGTAACACGACAGAAATATTAAGCGATCAAACATGGGGATACTCTCGCAGGGAGCACAGCTGCCACATTCGTCGCGCAATTCAACGGTGAAAGGGTTAATTGTCGCGAGCGCGGCACCGTGAAATCGCGGTGCTAGCTCGATAAAAAGGGTCGACCGATGAAAAAAAGAAAAAGGATAGAAAGAAAGGAAAGAAAAAAAAGAGACGTGGTTTATACTGCCGCGTAATCATGAGTCACTATCGTGCGCGGTGAACCAAAAAGAACGAGATCAGAAGTGAAGGAGCGGTGAAGTCAGAAATGACTTGTACATCTGCATCGTTCACGAGTTAGGAAATCCCTTTGCAAATACCGTATGATTACGGCCGCATACTTAAATGATAACGCAAACATGCTGCGAGAAAAAGCCGGCTCTCTAAGTTCTTATATGGTCTTGAGACTTGAGACTTGTTATTAGTCCCAACTCAAGGTGGAATTTTAAAAGTATCGCTTCTTTGCTACAACAATTAAAATAATTTTCCAGAAAGAAAATACGTTCTTTGCGACATAACTAAAAAAACAGTTTTCCAGAAAATGCATTTGAACGTTTTAAATCATTAAAATTCTATAATATATTAATTTTAAAATGTAATTCATTGTGATGACTAATTACAGAAGAATAAAATTATGTTATGTTTTTAAGGATTAAAAGGATGATTAATAAATAAGGTGCCCAGTATTTTTGCTCAAAACTGCAGGCAGATATCTGACTTTAAAAAGTTTAAAGAGAAATATCTCACGGTGCGCGGCGTGTTAAACGACGATGATCTATCGCATTTTTGCGACGATCATTAGCAAAGTGGAGTACAGTGGAGAAAAATCTTTTTTTTTCAGGATAATAAAAAAATGCTAGAAATAATCGTGACTCATCAGCTGAGGCATATAGCTGTGCACGAAAAAAAAAAAAAAAAACAGATAAACGCAAAAAACATTCGCCACAAAACGAGAGTGCGTAGAATACGTCATACTTTTGTAGTAAGCATGTAACATATTAGAAGGTCCGGTTTTCTTGGAATGGTGAACCGTAAAGGACTGGTTTGACGGCACGCGTCATGAAAAAAAGATCTAAGAGCAAGAAGGGGAGGGAGAAAAGAGGGCCCAAAAATAAACACGAGTAGACAGAATCGCAGATGTCTGAGAAGCCTACAACGAGATGATGACACATAATGAATGCGAGAGATATAATCGGTGCTAAAGAGAAGCAATTACACAGTTGAACAAAAACAGATGACTTTTTCCGAATACTAGAACAAGACTAGTCATTTTTGGTCCAACACAAAACATAGAACAAGATTAACCTGTTGTCTTGGACTGGTATTTATAATCGGATCTTATATTTAAAATCGTCTTAAGTACAGTCTTAAAATGTCATAAACTAATCAAAGGTATTCAAAGTCAGTTTTTATAGATCATCTTAAGTTCTGTCTTGAGGTATGACGAACCAATCAGAGGGTCGCGTTCTTAAGATAAGAACGATAAAAGATTATAATTACCGCCGCTAGTGTTTTTTAAAATCATTTTATAGAGATGAAAGATAGAGATGAAAGAATTCTGGGAAAAAGCGCACGCTGTACATAAGAATGGCGTCAACGCGCCATTCTGGAGTTAACAAGTATTTTCTTTTTCTTTTCTTTAGTTTCGAATATTATTAACGATCCTAAGAGGCTATCCAGATAACGGATGTGTACACGAATGTGTTACAGATGAAAATTTCATAACAAAACATGACTGAAATCGTAAAGTCGATGTAAACTAAGCCCGAAATAATATTTATCGCACTTATAAAGTTCTAATCGCATCGTAAATGTAATTATTCGGTTCTTTCGTATAGTTTCTTTTTTGTCACTAAGAGCAGTATTCTGATCTTCCGTTCGACGAAACGAATTAAAACTGGCATCGCGCAAAGTATTTAAACGTTAACTGAATCCTCGTCCACTTTGGAATTCATGGTCCCCCTTTCGAAACAGCCGGTGCTTCTTTCCGATCGACTTTTGTGTTCTCTTCTTCTTGCTTCCTCCCTCTCCCGACAATGATGGCCGTGCGACCGCTTGCCAGCTTGCCGACCGATCTTCAATGAAGATTGCCGACTATCCCACCCGTATTTCTTCCTCTTCTTTCGCTGCTCGTGTATTAACCGCTCTTGCATACGAGATGCATACACCGAATAAATTTGCACCGTCGGCCAACGTGTAGGCGAAGTAAAGTCCGTGAAGTTCACCAGATCGGAGCTTGGCAAAAGCAATCAATGGCAAAAAATAATATATTTCTTTAGTTATTATTATTTTTATAATTTTTAGAGTTGTAATTAATTTAATGAAACGAATCAATCACTAAAATAAATTCATATATTCTATATTACTTTTTATATTTTATAATTACGTTATAAATCTATTTTTCTTAGTTTATTATTCTTAGTTTATTCCTAATTAAACAGAATTTATGACACGCCTACATATATATTTATAATATAATACACGTTCGCTATATATCCGGTAGATATCTATAGTGCCGATAATTCCAATTAGGAAAACGAAAACAAGATTTGATTTATGAAATAGATGTGACGATGTCTCTCGCTTACGATAATTCTCACCAACTTAGCTGTTGAGTGTTATTCGCAACTTGAACGAGTTGAACAAAATGACGATAACGAACTGGATAGCCTAATGGATGCATCAGTCGGTCGTTTTGTTTTGTCTCTGCTTCTCTACGAAGTTTCTCGAAAAAGACCATACGCCAGTCTCACTACTTACGGAGAGATACGCGATTCATTTATAATGCGGAGAGACATTAGATAAACGCCTAATTAGCGTTCGCGAATTAATTTCGCTACGATTTTCTGTCCGCATAAAATATCGCTGTAATTAAGTTCATAGCGAAATCTACAAGAAAGAACAAATGGACTTTTCTGGAGATTCGGAGAGACGAGAAGAGATAGAGTTTCGTGAAGTTTTTCAAAGAAGTACGTTTCCTTATAAAAATACAGAAATAAAAAATGCAGCGTTTATATATCCACAGAATGATATCTGCGACTTTCTTGCGAAAGATTTAGCGCGAATGCACTGTTAAATTTATAATAAGTTATATCGAATTGAAGGCATTTTTAAAAGTAATCACTATTCGTATTCAATATATCGTTTTAATTAGCTAAAATAATGAAGTTAAACAATTTAACTCAAGAAAGGCATTTGTCTCAAATTTAATTATTATTTATTGAATACATATTTATAGATGCAGTTCGCCTAAAAATTAAGTAAGAATTGATTATAAATAGTTATTTTTTTAAACCATTATACATATTTTACATTAAAATAAAAAAATTTTGAAACATATGGAGGTTACAAATAATGGAATATTATTAAACCTAAAAAATGATTTAAATTTGATCCTTTAAAATATATTTAACAATGCAATTATTTTGCTCGAAACATTCGTGTCATTACTCACGGCGATTTTTTCTACTTGCCATTCATTCTACATCATAATTATACATTATACTACATTATTAGATATTAAAAGAGCAATAGCAATTCCACGTGTTACATACTATAAATCAATTCATTTCTGCAATATGATTTGATTCAAAGTAAACGTCCATTTTAATGTACGCATTTAGTAAATAAATTTAAGTCAATGCATTTTCTTGTATTAAATTGTTTAATTTGTCTTAATCAAATTAACGATGAATAGAAACAGTGACAACCTAGAAATGATTAAAACTATAACCCAAAGTAAGTCTAAACTTTGACATTATATGCAAAGAGCATTTGAATTAACACTGCAAGGAACCTTTTTTATAAGTGAGAAGATGGTCCATATAGCACAGAAGCTTGCAGCTCATTTGCAATGTTGCCGCAATATTACTGAAACGTCGCAATATTGCTGAAATGATCTATGCTATGGGGAGGAGGCATTTATCCGTCGCGCCTGTCTGACAATTGACCGGTTCTACTGCGAGCGGTGGAGATGCGACGCGACGCGCCGCCGCTATCCATAATAATTTTCTGCTCGTGATTTAGATCGAATAACGATGATCTTCCGTACTATTTAAGTCACGCGCTAGCCTCGCCGCTTGCGGCGTACGTTCAATTACTGGCAGAGATAATCGGATTTCGCAAACGCCGCCGTAGAAATTCTACAAGCCCAGGCCTCACCTTGCATCGTATGAGCGAGCGAACTTCTTCAGCGTACACGCAATTTATGCGATAATTAATAAGTACTCGACCGTGTGGATCGACCACCGGTGATGGTCATTCGAGTTCGATTTTTCTTTCGCGGGAGTCTTAGAAATCCACATGCGCTTTTAAAGCGCTCTTGTATTTCTGCTTGCGTTTCGTGTAATAATTAAAGATACCACGCGAAAAATCTTATTAGTTATATTTAACTAAACAAATTGCTCGATTAGATAATTAAACAATAAAATATTAATACATGGAAAGAATGATTTTGTTGAAAGATTTCAAATTTTGCTGGATACGTTGCAGATTTGAAAATAATTTTGTTAGACTATCAAAATAATCACGCC